GTATTTAGAAACCAGAACTTTTTATACCCCAGTTGTTTGTCATCATACAAAGCCAGGAAAGGGTGGGCTTTTCCCAGAATGGGCTGGAAATTTAAGACCACCCAATACACACTTATTAAATGTGTTTGAATGTGTTTCTCCCTTGTGGAACTTTATATTTACTCCTGCGATCTCCTTCCAAGGCTTCCTCCACCACCTCCTGGTTCATCTACCAGAGTTTCCCTGAGCCTCCTCGAGAACCCAAGATCTTCTGGAGCAGTTCTGAGACTGACAGCTTCAAGGTCTTTGTCCCTGGTCCGCACGGTAATCTGTACGCCCTCCATCGCTCCAACTATCTGGCTGTACTACACTGACTTGTCTTTCACTCAATCACCCCCCACTGGTGGACGCTCCCTCACAACCCAAGTAAGAGAAGTTTTTTTGGTTCCTCATCATTTCCTCAGTATTTTTTGTGTTGCTCATCATATTCTCCTCTGCCTTCAGTGATTCCCTTCCCCCGGGTCTCCAGCCCCAGAAGGAGATTCTCAATTTATTTGCTTTTTATTTGTAAATAAACTTTTTTGAACTTTCCTTGTCTCCTGAGAGTGTTCTGCATGTGGGCCAAACATCTTTCTAAAAACATGACAGAACACTAAGGCCAGACAGACCCAGCAGACACTCTCAGAGCCATCTCTGAACAGAACTCCCTCCTGCAGTCCCATGATGCCGCTTTAAGAAATCTCGGCAATCAGCAGGATTTAATCAATCAACGATTGGACCGCTTAACCCATCTCTTGCAGAACTTCCAGCCAACTCCACCTCCAGCTTCACACCCAGCTTTGATTGCGGCCTCCCCTGCACCTCCTCCTAATCAGCTCTTCTCACGTGATATCCGTCCACCTTCTCCAGAAAAATATGCAGGTGATGTTGGTCGGTGTGGGGGTTTCCCGTTGCAGTGTTCTCTGGTTTTCAATTATTTCCCTCATTGTTTTCCCCATGACAATGCTAAGATTACTTATATCATCTCACTACTCACCAGGAAAGCCTTGGAGTGGGCGTAGGCTCGTTTCATTGATATCTCAGATTATGGGTGTACATTTGAGGAATTTATGGTGGAGTTTAAACAAACATTTAATCAGGATTCTGATCACACAACTCACTCTAGAAATCTTTGGACTCTAAAACAAGGAAATAGATCAGTTGCTGATTTTGCTATTGATTTTAGAATCAGTGCTGCAGCTTCTGATTGGAATGCCTCAACTCTGAAGAGTGCTTTTTTTCATGCCCTAAATGACTCCATAAAAGATGAACTGGCAACTCTAGATGAGCCACGGTCTCTTAATGATCTAATCTCCTTAGCCACCCGTTTAGATAACCGTATGAGAGATCACAACAAAGAGAGATCTAAGAGACCTGCTGTTCACAAGACAAACTTGTTTCCTCCTGTTACTAATCCTCTCCCATCTCCTAGGCTCACCGATCCAGAGCCCATGCAGATTGGCAGAACCCGTCTCACCCCAGAGGAGCGTCAGAAGTGGATGGAAATGAAACAGTGCCTCTATTGTGGTTCAGCAGGACATTTCATTGCCCTCTGCCCAATTCGGCCAAAAGCCCAGGTCCGCCAGTAGTCGGGGAGGCTGGCGGACCATTTAAAAAAAATACAGAATCCCCACTTACTCCTACCTGCCACTCTGCTGTTTAAACATGATTCTCTCAATCTTTCAGTCCTCATTGATTCTGGTTGTGAACGCAACTTAATTGACTCTGCTATAATTCATCAGTCCCAGATCAAGACCATCCAGCTCTCAACCCCATTGCGTGTAGCGGCCCTTGATGGTAAGCCACTACCTCAAATCACCCACATGACTAAACCCCTCCGTCTGATTTTCTCTGGCAATCACAGCGAAGACATTTCTTTTTTTGTTTTTCCCACATCTAATTCCTCTGTGGTCTTAGGTTTTGACTGGTTGCAGCAACATAATCCCCACATCAACTGGACAGGCCGACATATAGAGTCATGGTCTTCCACCTGTCACTCTAGTTGCCTTCGATCTGCACTTCCACCCAGCTCTTCTCCTGTGACTATAAATTAGGCTGACGCTCCTGATCTGACATTAGTTCCCCCAGAATATCATGATCTTGCTCCAGTATTCAGCAAAAGCAAAGCGCTATCATTACCACCTCATCGTCTCTATGACTGCACAATTGAACTTCTCCCTGGTGCCCCATTACCCTCCAATTGATTATATAACATTTCACGACCAGAGCGCGAAGTCATGGAGACATACATTAAAGATGCTCTAGCCGCTGGACTCATTCGCCCTTCCTCATCCCCACTGGGAGCTGGGTTTTTCTTTGTGGGTAAGAAAGATGGCTCTCTCCGTCCCTGCATTGATTACAGAGGTCTGAATCTAATCACTGTAAAGAATAAATATCCCTTGCCTCTGATCTCCCCAGCCTTAGAACCAATTCATGGTGCCACTGTCTTCTCCAAACTCAGTCTGCGAAACACCTACCATCTTCTCCACATCCGCCAGGGGGATGAGTGGAAGACAGCCTTCAAGACTCCCATAGGACATTTTGAGTACCTGGTAATGCCGTTTGGCCTTTGTAATGCCCCTGCCTTTTTCCAGGCTCTCATCAATGACGTTCTCCGAGATTTTTTAAATATCTTTTTGTTTGTCTACCTAGATGACATTCTAATCTTCTCCAAAACACAGTCTGAACACAAGAAACATGTGCATATGGTCCTCCAACGCCTCCTCGAAAACAAACTGTTTGTTAAAGCAGAAAAATGTGACTTTCACAAATCATCCGTAACATTTCTGGGCTACATCCTTGAGGGCGGACAGGTGCAGCCCACTCCTGAAAAGATTCAAGCAGTCCTCGACTGGCCCATTCCCCAAACATGCAAATAGTTACAAAGATTTTTAGGTTTTGCTAACTTCTACCGCTGGTTTATCAGAAACTACAGTCAAACAGCCGCACCCCTAACAGCCCTCACCTCGTCTAAGGTCCCTTTTACTTGGTCCACTGAAGCTGACACTGCCTTCCTCCGTCTCAAGAATTTGTTCTCTCATGCACCCATCCTCATCCAGTCGGACCCTGGTAAACAGTTTATTGTAGAAGTGGACGCTTCAGAGACTGGGGTCGGAGCGGTCCTCTCTCAGTGCTCAGGTTCTGGTAATAAAACTCACCCCTGTGCATTCTTCTCTCGCAGACTCACCCCGACAGAGAGAAATTATGACGTGGGGGACAGAGAACTACTTGCCATCAAACTGGCCTTGGAGGAGTGGTGGCATTGGTTGGAGGGTGCAGAACATCCTGTGCTGGTCTGAACCGATCATAAGAACATCTCTTATCTCCAAGCTGCCAAACGACTGAAACCCCGGCAGTCTCGTTGGTCTCTGTTCTTCGCTCGCTTTAATCTCTGTATTTCTTTCAGACCCGATTCCAAGAACCAAAAACCTGATGCTCTCTCCAGGATGTATTCATCTGATGAGCCTGAGGAGGAACCGGCTCCTATTCTTCCACCCAGTTGCTCCATTGCCAGAAGTAACGCGGGAGATAGAGGACATCATTGAACATGCTCTGCAAACAGAACCAGACCCCGGAACAGGTCCATCTAACAGAACTCAGCAGTCTGAGCCCGTCTCATCCACTGGATCTACTCTGCTAAGTTTTCTGCACATCCTGGGATTAGTCGAACCGTGGCTCTCATCAACCGTCACTTCTGGTGGCCATCTATTCAGAAAGATGTCAAAGAATATGTCCTAGCCTGCTCCATTTGTGCCCGCAACAAATCCTCTCATCAACCACCATCTGGTCTGCTCCAGCCCCTAGCCATTCCCAAGAGACCATGGTCCCACATCTCCATCGATTTTGTCACCGGATTTCCTTCATCCAAAGGTATGACAACCATATTCACTATCATAGATCGCTTCTCTAAAGCCTGTCATCTCATCCCTCTCAGAAAGCTACCCACTGCCTTCCAGACAGCTCAACTCCTTGCAAAGCAAGTGTTTCGCCTCCATGGTATCCCTCAAGAAATCCTGTCTGATCGGGGCCCTCAGTTCAATTCACAAGTCTGGAAGCAGTTTTGTTCAGCCATCGGAGCGAAGGTCACTCTCACATCTGGTTACCACCCTCAATCCAACGGTCAAGCTGAATGCATGAATCAGGAACTTGAAGCCACACTAAGATGCCTCTCACTTCTGCCAATCCTGCTGACTGGAACCAATATTTACCTTGGGTGGAGTATGCTCACAATTCTCACACCTCAGCTGCTACTGGTCTGTCTCCTTTTGAAATATTCCTTGGCTAACACCCTCCTCTTTTCTCAGCAGATGAAGAACAAATATCAGTCACTTCGGTCCATCATCACATCCGCCATTGCAAGAACATCTGGACCAACACCATCGTCGCCCTCAACCATACATCAGAACAAAACCGCCGCCTTGCAGATCGTAAGAGATCCCCAGCTCCACAGTATGTTCTTGATCAAAAAGTATGGCTGTCCTCATGTGATGTCCCTCTAAAATCCATTTCTAAGAAGATTGCTCCCAAATTCATTGGCCCTTATGAGATAGAGAGCATCATTAGTCTCTCTGCAGTCTGCCTTAGACTACCACCCTCTCTTCGTATCCATCCCACGTTTCACGTCTCTCAGTTTGAGCCCGTCCAGACCAGCGCTCTTTGCCCTCCTCCCGAGCCCCCTCCTCCCGCCCGGGTCATTGAGGGWCACCCGGCTTTTGACGTCCGCCGGATCGTGGACTCCCGTCGGCGAGGTCGTGGCTGGCAGTACCTTGTCGATTGGGAGGGCTACGGTCCAGAAGATCGGTCTTGGGTTCCGGGATCGTTTATCTTGGATCCTGACCTTATTTCTGAGTACCAGTCTTCTCAGCCATCCGGTTCCTCTGGACCACCAGGTGGCGGTCATTGGGGGTGTGGGGTGATGTTAGAAACCTGGTTTTGGGTTGTGTTTTTGTTGTGTTCAGTTTTTTTGTGCAGATAGTCTGGAGCTGCTGTCACTGGAGGGCGGAACCACTGATTATCACCAACACCTGCGGATCCTCTCCTGCAATCATCCAGGGGATAAAAGGAGTTGGCTGTCAGTTCTCCAGTGCCTGAGTGTTTGCCTGCAATGGTATCTCATGCTCCCATAATTTGTTCTCTGTTTTAATTTCTGAGAAGTTTTTTCTCCCTTGTGGAACTTTATATTTACTCCTGCGATCTCCTTCCAAGGCTTCCTCCACCGCCTCCTGGTTCATCTACCAGGGTTTCCCTGAGCCTCCTCGAGAACCCAAGGTCTCCTGGAGCAGTTCTGAGACTGACAGCTTCAAGGTCTTTGTCCCTGGTCCGCACGGTAATCTGTCCGCCCTCCATCGCTCCAACTATCTGGCTGTACTGCACTGACTTGTCTTTCACTCAACCACCCCCCACTGGTGGATGCTCCCTCACAACCCAAGTAAGAGAAGTTTTTTGGTTCCTCATCATTTCCTCAGTATTTTTTGTGTTGCTCATCATATTCTCCTCTGCCTTCAGTGATTCCCTTCCCCCGGGTCTCCAGCCCCAGAAGGAGATTCTCAATTTATTTGCTTTTAATTTGTAAATAAACTTTTTTGAACTTTCCTTGTCTCCTGAGAGTATTCTGCATGTGGGCCAAACATCTTTCTAAAAACATGACATTTTCAGTGGGATTAGATTTGTACGTTTAAATTTTTTTATCTTGTAAAAAAATTATATTCTTCGCTTCTTCAGGACTCACTACATGGCAGAACAATGAAATTCTCCCTGTTCACAACGGAACTTCTCATTGGTTAAAACTTTCTGCTTTGGTCACATGACCCATCCAGACAAATAACAGAAGGACAGTGATAGTTAATCAAAACCAGATCAAGTTACTCAAACAATGTCATGATTATTACAGTAATTAAATCAGAGTACCAAGGTATTATTTTGACACTTCACAGATGTTTTTATAGTTATAAATAGAAAACATGGGTGAAAAAAAATAAAATATTTTCAGGGTTAGTAGATAAAATGTCCACAGGGGCGTTGCTGACCCACAGATAAATGGGACTCATGGGAGTCTTTTGATGTCAAACAATGTTTATTCCAACCTTATCCTGAAAGAGGTGATAAATCAATTAACTGGTGACAGGAAGTCTAGCCTTTGTTCTAAGGCCTAAGGGTGAAGTATCAGATGAATTACAGGAGTCCTTATTCAAACTCTGAGATGTTGCAGGCAGTATGACAAAGGTGGAGTTAGCAGGACTGTCTCTTGAGAAGATATTCACGTTTCCACTACAAGTATGTGGGCCCACATCACGGATTCAGTGATTGCAGCCGTCAAGAAAACAAACTCAATTCCTGCTGTTATTCCTGGAGGTACAACAAAGTTTTTGCAACCCCTGGACATCAGTGTGAATCGTGCATTTAAAGCAGCACTCAGTAGGGATGTTGACATTTCGTCAGCAGCTGCTGCCATTTTCTTCCCAAACCGCTGTGACCAGATTTTGCAAGGCTGCTCGGTGCGTTTGCTTGTAATTTCCTCGTGCTTCGTTATTTCTACGAATTTCAACAAATCGGGCTGCCGTCAGGTAGTTAGCTACAGCCTCGTCTTCGAGTTTTAAATTTTTGTTGATGCGTTTTGATAACAATTTTTTTGAAAAGAGAATCAAAGTAAATCACCCGAGTTTTTTTTAGTGACCCCTTAAATAGATAAGCTGCCATGAAGAACATTTTTTTTATCTGCCCTTGTTCCAAATTTGATAATGATTTGAAACGTCGAAGTATGTTTTTTTTTAATCCAGAACAGCGCTTGTTGCAAAGTGTTTTGATGCTCGTCTTCGTCACTTGACACATTTAACATGCTGTCATTGGTTGAGGAGCTTTGTTTACAAAACAGATGTCCACATGGTTTTTAAATTGTTACTTTCTAAGAGACATTAAGTTGATTTGATGCTACAGTTTGCCTTGTAATGTTATTTTATACACTTTCTGCTACTTTTGAATTGGCTATTATTAAGTTTTATTAGTTTTTTAGGATACAAGATGCTTCCAACAAAACCAGAATGGGAATCTTTCCCTAAAATTTCATGGCGATATCTTGAACACTAAGGAAGTTATGAGCAAAATTAGAAAACAGCAAGGTGAAATGGTCACACAGGCCCCATTGGTTCTGCTGTGAACTGCAGCAAGAAAACATGAGCTGATTTCACCTAAACAAACATCAATAACTTCCCTCATACTTCAGATAATCACATGATTTTGGTGTTATTTTGAATGGTTTGAAATGATCTTTTGGAATCCGCTGTCAGATTTAATATTGGTGTAGGGTTAAAAATTTATCCACATCCCTACACTCAGGGGTGAATGGGAGGCTTGTATGACTGACGGGGATAAATCATTCACAAAAACTGGCCGAATACGAAAAGCGTCATTTCCTGATGTCTGCCAGTGGATCCTAACAGTGTGGAGCAGAGTGAATGAGTCCACCATCAACAATGGGTTCCGAAAGGCTGGACTGCTACGTGAAGAGTGCACCACAGCTTCAGAGCCAGCATTACCCCAGGAGGACAGCGACACAGAAAGCAACACTGAACAGATACCGCTGTGTGACGCAGCTTTTCTCAGCTTGTTTAACTCCGACCCTGAAGAGGAGGACTTCGATGGTTTCAGTGCACCGGAGGACGATGAATAAGAC